ACGACGACGACTACTACTACTACATCGCCGCCACACTCGATGCTTGCTGTTCCCCGAGCGGGGAGGGTCAGCGCAAGCAGTTGTCCGGGTTCCTCGACCTCGGCAGTTCTCGGCAGGTTTGCGTTCCTGTCACTTAGTGCGACGCGTTTACCATCATTTTTGTCTCATATGCCATCCAATGCACCGGAAAGGCCCCGTGCAGCACTTCCCCAACGGAAGCTCATGTGCTAGAGCGGCATGCTGCCGCACTTTCCATGCCCCTGAAACCTTGACTTGTTTCTCAGTGACTCGCATGTGGAGGCAATCCCCGCCTTATACAGCTTCTCATCACTCTGAAGCAAAAGGCGCTTGGGTTCGCAAGTGTCCCAGTGGCATATGCAGCACTGAGCTATCTACTCGTACTTCTCGTTTCAGATCCTAGAGTCCCAGAGCCGCACCTGCGACTCTCTGCATTCTTTACCGAAGACTGCAGCAATGGCGGCTCAATGCAGGGCAGACCCCACCGAAGCACTTCGGCACCCAGCGTGTGTTCTTCGGAATGCTGCGCCGACGTCTGGGCACAGGGATGTCAATGTGGGTTGTGCCTGTGACTGCGACATTGCTGAGCGATGCGATATCTTCAGGACTCAGCTGGTGCTTTGGTGAGTGCTTGAATCTTGGACCAATCAGGGAAGTTTCGTTCGTGCCGGAGGAAAGCCAGCTTCCTTCAAGCGATGTTTGGTTGCAGCGGCGAGCGACATCAACCTCCGAGCTATTTCCAGCAGCTGTCACGAGGAGAAATTTCGACTTCTGCCAGGGTTAAAACCATAAGTAGAGGCTACAGTCGTGTATTGCCTGAAGCTGTGCGTTCCGTACCTCTCGACAAAGATGGACGCGGGGAAGAACAAGCTCCAGCAAGAGCATGGCACTACCACCTCTTTCGAATCTCGGTTCTCTATCCGACAATTCTGCTCTTGCAAGTCGAGACTGCGATTCTACAGCTAGCGTGGCAAATGTGCATTGGCTCGCGCGACGAGTAGCTGCTCAAACTTGAGCACTTGCTCGACGCAAGAATCTAAGCGCCATCGATCTTGATCGTATGTTCGAGCCCAGGTGACCGCTCCTTTGTCCCAGTGCCCTTGTTGCAGGATGTGCAGCACTTCTACTGTCAACGTGTCCGGGACGTTGCATCGAAGCGAGTCCTGCCTCAGGTTAATGTTGTGATCACAGCATGGGGTGAGGGCTTGCTCTGTTTCTGAGTGTGTGTGTGTGTGGGGTGCAAACTTAGTTCCCTACAGAGTGGCGACACTATGGGGTTCTTGCGTTCAGGCCGCGCGCCGTGCCTCGAAAAGGAGCTCCCTGCATCCTCTTATTTGCAGCAGATGCTGTGAATCGGGTCCCCGCGTCCTATTGTCACAGGATGCTCGCGCGTCTCCCGCTGTTGGTGCGGTGCATGGGTTTCGCTGACGTCCTATTATTTGTCGAGGATTCGCCTAACACGCGTGCTCCGGCGGGAGGATTCATTGTACAAAAACGATATGGACCGCTTTTTGTTTTCGATAACGCTGAATCGCAGCAATGCGGAAAGCCATTTAGGGAGTTCCTCTGGATCTCGCAAGCCACAGTATGGGTTGGAATTATAGGTCAGCAGAAAGACTACCAGAACTAGGGGGCAGGCATTCGGGGTGGTGCACGATGTGCCAGTACTTGGGGGTCTCGCATATCGGCAGTGTCCAGAAATTCTCCAGCTGCTGTCCTGCGGGTCTCCTTTGGTCTCCGGAATTCTCCTGGTGTCATGGTGGTCTCCAGCTGATCTGGTGGTGGTCACTTGCCGGTGGTCTCCTGGTCGTTGTCGCCGTGGTCGTGAACTGGTGTGCTCAAGCAGAAAGTACGCAGAGCGCTTCCCGCAGGCTCCTGAGCTCAGGGGCCTTTAAGCTGGTTTTTTGCCGAATACAACTGGAATACAGCCGAAATGCGCGAACACACAAGTGGCAGCTCGTCGCGACCTGTATTTTATCAGGCATAGCGAGGAACCGGCCCGGAGGGTGAGGACTGTGCTCTGCTTGGGATGCATTTCCCAAGCCGGTCGTCATTTCCCTGTCCTAATGGCATGCTTCAGGTATTCACTGCTTGGGGATCTCCGCTGGCAGAATCTTTTCAACCTGCTTTGCTGTCCGTCCTTTTGTCTCTTTGTCGGTTGGCATTTGTCTCTCCGTTTGTTTGACTGACTACTTGTTATCCTGTCCGTTCACTGCTCGTTTGAATTACAGTTGTTCATCTTTTTAATCTTTCCTGCATCTGTCTGTCTGTCTGTCTACATATCCGTCCTTGGCCCGGTGTCGAGACCTCTCCTTGTGACATCCAAGGATACACAGAGCCCTTGAAGACTGAGTGCCTGCAAGGCGTCGAGGCGCGTGCGTCGGCATTCAGCTTTCGAAAGCTGCTGTCTGCCTTGCATCTGAGTCAGTGTTCAGGTCAGATCTGCACATGAAGGGTTTGCACGCAACATGCCACGATAGAGTCTGCTAGAGGCCAACTACATATATCGATAACCCAGAGTTGCAGGGTCAAGACAGGTATGCGAACTTGGTAGTTTCTCGGGCAGGATTCGCAGCTGATTTTTCGTTCTTATAGTCCGGCGAGAATCGCATATGCAACTTGGACCATGGCAGGGAAGCAGTTGGCAGACATGTCCGGGAGTTAGGGATCCTTTTGGAATGTTTTTTTTTGGTTTTTGCAAGCTGACCCCGCAACATACTAGGTTACTAGGCAGCTTCCTAGCACGAAAGGAGCATGGGCAGCCAGGAGGCCCATCAGGAAGGAATGTCGCTAGGGGGAGGTCGTTATTGTGTGCTATGCCAAAACCTTGGCGGGCTGAGGTCATCCTGGCGCATCAGTTCCCTCAGTGCCTTTGCGCAGATTCTCAGTTCATTGCTGCGGCAGTTGTTTCAATCCTTGTCAACTTGCACCCATGCATCACACACGGAGGAATGTGAAGCGGCTTATCTCCAGACTGTTGCAACCCCTCGAGACCGTCTTTGCCGTGCAAACCTTCATTCAACATGGACCTGCACACATTGAAAATTGAACAGCGCCCCTGAGCGGAGCTGCCCAGGTGCATGTTGATGAAAAGAACCCGGGGATGCTCGAGGAGCTTGTACATTGGACACAAGTGGAGGCATTGGGATACGCCGTTCAGATTTACTCCAAGCATCTTGGTTGGAAAGCGGACAGAAGCAAACCGTGACCAAGTTTGCATGTCGACGTGTTGTACCTCTATAGGGGTTCAAGGTACAACATCGTTCGCGGTGGTGCGAACATGCTCCATGCGCAGATGGAAGGTGCAGGCTAATTTGCCCCTGCGCATCTTAAGTGGGTACCTGACTGTAGGTATTCGCCAGCTTCTACACCATGCAATGGAGTGGGATTTTTGCATTTTGCTCAGCGAGCAGGATGCAAGGGCATGTCATATTCAAAGTGTCGTGTCTGTATCAGAACATGTGATGCAGGATTACCCATTGAGAGGAAATGAAGTCCTGGCCACCTACCTCTGGGTGCATCATGGGACCAGCTTCGTGTCTGTGGACGAGGCAAGCCTATGCGGTGTGCATCCCGGGCCTTGCGTGAGTCCGCTTTTGCTGAGGGTGAATGCGAACGCGACGTCTCATACCAATGTGGAGACCGTGTGATATCATTGCGCCTCGCTTGCAGTTCCACGCTGGTTGTCGCGAAGATCGGGGGAGTGATGTGACATCACTGATGGTTTGTGAAACGTCAAGGCGTTCATGGTGTGTTTTCGGGCGGGGGGGGGGGTGGCTTGGACTCTTCTGGCCTATGTGACG